AAGAAAATGCCTTAATTGATTCAAAATATTATCAATTAAGGCATTTAAATTTACCAAACACCTTAATTGAGAAGTTATCCTGGATTCATTGAACAATCTCAATTAAGGTGTTCATCCTAAACAAATGCCTTAATTGAAAGAAAAAAAATCAATTAAGGTGTTTACATTGGACAAACGTAAAAGTCTTCCTGGATTAATTGAACAATCTCAATTAAGGTGTTGATATTAGACAAATACCTTAATTGAGAAAAAAAAAACCAATTAAGGCATTTATATTAAACAAACGCCATAATTAAGGACTTTTCAAAAAATTAAAAACAAAAGCAATTAAGGTGTTCATATTAAACAAATGCCATAAATGTTGAGTTTTTTCAAATAATAATGTCGATGTATCAATTAAGGCATTCATATATTCCAAACATCGTAATTAAGAGATTTTATCAATTTAAAAAGGTACTTATTTAAGGTGTTCAGATGTTTTAAATGCCATAATTGAGAGGTATTTCAATTATACAATCAGATCAAATAAAGCAGTTATCTATTCCAAACAACTTAAACGAAATTTTTTGTATTTTTTATTTAGGCAAATACACCATTATGTCTAATCCGTAAATGCGTTTATTTAATTTTAAAAAATTTAAAATTTTTGTTTTCTTTTCTTTCTAAAGGCTTCATTTATCATTTGGGAATTTGTTATCAAAACAAAATGAAAGTTTGTCTACAATTTGTCAAGGAGATTATGGTAAATATACATGAATTAATAAATTGAGATTTTTTTCAACCAAATGAATGATTCTGAATACGAGATACACTAAAAATCAAACAAAATACTAAATATCGAACTTTCCTGGATATCATACTTTCTTTCGAAATCCAAGATTTCACAAACTAAATGTCCTCTAATTAGCTCCATAAAATTTGAGTAACTAAGTGCTATTATCTTAAAAACATAGTACCTTGTAGTTTTTTTTTTTATATATATTTAAAATTATTAAATTTTTAATTTTAAAATTAAGAATTTCGTATTCTATTAATAATACATGCATATGCTATTGACAGATTTATATATATATATATAATAATAATAAGAAGAAGAAGACATATTACACAATTAAATTTAATTATAAGGGTAGTTTAATTACCAAGGTGGGGACCCAAAACCAAATTTTAAAAGTCTACTCAGTCGAAACGAAAAACGTGGCCATTCTTCCCATCCAAGGATATTATTTTTCAACTATATGGGGAACTTAGACTTTACAATTTGAAATTTAATTGAGACTAATGGGATCGTCCAACCCAAATTTTGGTCTATTCTTGCGGCTAATAAGAAAGTTGGCATGCAGGTAATTTTCAAAATAATTTATTTTCGGCACCAATTTTTACAAAATTGGCAGCCAAGCAGCTTATATTCTTGCTAAATATGGAGAAAGTTTGGACCATGATCTTTTCTGGGTAGAAGAATGACCTGAGTTCACTTTGTCAGTTATTAATTTAGATTGTAATCAACTATTTGATCAATGAAATGTAATTTTACATTAAAAAAAACCAATATTATGTGTTAAAACCAATTCTTCCTAGAAAAAGGAGAATTAATTTGGATGGAGTTTTATGTATTACAATAGATATAATTTTCAGAAGCCTCGTAATTTCTGAAAATCATATTTATTGTAATACATAAAACTCCATCCAAATTAACTCTCTTTTTTCTTTAAAAAACCCCAAATATAGGGACTCAGACATATCAAAAGATATATTATAAGTTTTTTAATTAAAAATATTAAGCATTCGATTTAAAATTAATTGATTATAAATAAGATGATCAATTTGAATATATATAAAAAAAAAAAAAAAAAACTAAGTTTAATGGATAGAAGATAATACTACTTTAATAAATCTTCATCATATGTAAGTATAACTAAGATGTGACAAAATCAGAAGCATAAGGCAGGAATCACATAATAAAACTTAAGCTCTAATACCATCTTAAGTATTCAATCTAAAACTAATTAGATATAAAAAGAAGTGTCCTACTTGAATATAAAATCATAAAAAATTCATAATTATACAGGTGCTGGATAATACCATTTTAACAATAATAATTAAATTTCTTAATCTCTGTCAAAAAAATATATTAATTGCATTCACCTATAAATAATAAAATTATAAAATAATTGATTTCCTTTTTAAGCTTTTTTATAGAGTAAATAACAGTTTCAATTCAAATAGTAATTGTTTTATGCACTATTTATGAAATATAAAAACTTTATCAAGTCCTACCTTAGAAGTTTGCAATTGATCCATTGAACTAATTATATATATTTATGTAGTGGTCATATAATTTGCCTAAAAATGAAAATATGCAGTGCATGAGAGTCCCATTTGTAAAACTTTTAAATTCAACCACTATTTAATCTTGCAATTTTTGGAATGATGCAAAAGACATAGTAAGAAATCCACAATGGGATATTCTAAATAATGTTTAATTAATTAGTTATTATATGAATTAACTGAATTAAATCTCGAAATAATTTGATATATAATTAGTTTTGGTAAGGGATATCATGTAAAAGATTAAAATTTAATGATAATTAAAAAGAAAATTATCATAAAAGAAGAAGTAATTTTTATTTTGATATCATAATTAATAACATCTTATTTTGGACAAAATAAATATATAATCACGAATTAAAATTTGCAAAAAAATCAGCTTTAATTTATTCAACATTATAAAATAGGGTAAAAAAAAATTAAATAATAGTTCTGTGGTGGTGGATCATTTTACAATTATTATTGGATTCCTTTTTTTTTTTTTTTTTTTTTTGTTATCTGTTACTCGCTTTAATGGTTGAATATTACATATATATGAACACTAATAATTGGTGCATATTAAAAAGTAATAAACAAAAAAAAAATTAAGGCATTATGATTTTGTCCATAACTAGAAGGAATGTGAATTTAAGATGCATTAATCTATAATACACACGCGAATTTTGGTGAGATTTTTTATTGACCAAAACATATATTTATATCAATTATAATTCTAAGCTATCATTTACAATATTTTTTATTATAGATATTAATCAAATTTAAGTAATTTATGAATAAAAATTTTCATTTTATTAAAATTTTTTTATTAAGTGAATATTTGATAAATAAAAAAGAATTAAACTTTATGTTTTTATATTAATATCAAAATTAATAAATTCATATATTTTACACATGATTAAATTTTACATACTAGTACAAAATTTTGATTGATATGCACTTTATTAATTTTAATTATATGTTTTATAATTCTACGTGTAAAATATTTGACAAAAATATAAATACTATATTAATTAAATTAAGCCTCAAAAATTAAAGTAAATTGTAAAAGAAAAATTATAAAAACAGATAAGGATTGAAGGATTGGACTTTGGAGAGGCCGAACCGTTGGGATAAACCGCAGCCAAATTTGATTTGATTGCTGCGCCCCTTTCATGGTCGTCTCGGGAGACGATTGATGAAAGTCGCCGTCACTTCATCTTTCCCTTCGACCTCCTCTTCTCCCATTGGAGCCCACGTCGGCACGAATACATGGCAGATACTTCACCCAAGCATTATTAAAATAAAATCCTACAAATATTATTGTCCTAAAACAATAATTTTTCATGGTGTATATCAATCCACGTGTCATTCTCTCATTCGCCAGAACCCAGATTTCCCCACTTTCTTGTAACTAGATAGATAGGCTGCCAAACGCACCCCTAAAACCAAATCAAGAACAATCCATTGCGATACTCCACGTTAAGTCCAAAGATCCCCCAAAACCATAAAAACAAAAGAGAGCAAGTCCTGTCAGACAGGAACTGGAAGAGGGAAAAGAAAAATCAATTGCTGTGATTTGTGAGGATGGGAATTGAGATAGGCGGCGTCAAGGGTATTACAGGAGGCTGGGGCATGCCAGCAAAGACATGCGACACTTGTAAATCAGCTGCAGCGGCTATTTTTTGTCGTGTTGATTCAGCTTTTATGTGCCTGGATTGTGATTCCAGGATCCACTCTGGTAATAACAAACTCGTCTCTTCTCCACATGGGAGGGTGTGGATATGCGAGGTGTGCGAGCAGGCCCCTGCTGCTGTCACTTGCAGGGCCGACGCGGCAGCTCTTTGCGTCACATGCGATGCAGATATCCACTCTGCTAATCCTCTGGCTCGTCGCCACGAGCGCGTCCCTGTCGAGCCTTTCTTTGACTCTGCTGATTCGATTGTCAAATCTTCTCCTTTCAGCTTTCTTGTGCCGACGGATCATGATGGTACTAATTGTCCGCAAGAAGATGTAGAGCTGGGTTCTTGGTTGTTGCCCAATCCTAACATCAGTTCCAAACTTACCATGGAAACTAACCAAGTCAAAACAGGGGATTTGTTCTTCTCCGAAATGGATCCGTTCATTGATTTGGAGTTCCAGAATTCGTTTCAACAGCATCATAACGCAGCTATGGATAGCGTAGTTCCAGTTCAGACGAAACCAGCAACAATTCCAGTGATCAACAATTTTCATTGTTTCGATATTGACTTCTGTCGATCCAAGCTCCCTACTTTCAACTACCAGAGCCAGTCTCTCAGCCATAGTGTAAATATTGCAATCCACTTTCTTCAATTACATAACCTCTCAATTTCTAAAAAAAAGAATTTGGGTATTTTCTTTTGATCTTCTCTTACTTTTTATAATAGAAAATTTCCTTCCCCTTCACAATTCAAACTTCTTTTAGCAATTTTTAGAAGAAAAAAAAAATTCTTTTGAAATGAACTTCTATAAACTGATTCTTGGTACAAAATGAATAAAACTTTCAGGTTTCATCATCGTCACTTGAGGTTGGAGTAGTTCCAGACGGAAATTCCCTATCCGATATCTCTTACCCCTTCGGACGAACCATGACTGATCCAAGCGTACCCATCTTGGCAACTACGATCAACAACCAAGCACCCCAAGTAGGCGGAATCGATCGAGAGGCTAGAGTTTTAAGGTACAGAGAGAAGAGAAAGAACAGAAAATTCGAGAAAACAATCCGCTATGCTTCACGAAAGGCCTATGCTGAGTCAAGGCCAAGAATCAAAGGCCGTTTCGCCAAAAGAACCGAAACCGACAACGAAGTTGACCACATGTATAACTCGCCTTCCGCTGCTACAGCTGCAGCTTTCATGTCCGACACCCAGTACGGTGTCGTCCCATCCTTTTGAGGGTTGTTGAATGAATCTGCTTTAGCTATGATCTTGTAATATTTTTATCCAGCAAGTAGAAGAGGCCCCTACGGCCATTGAAATCAATGAAAAACAGATGTTTAGTTTTTAATCATGGACTCATGATATAAAAATAGTGTGTCGGTGGAGTTGTTGTTAGCCTTTGATTTGCAGGATTCGGTATGGAAAGCTGCAAGAAGATGTTAAGTTTCAACTAAAGCTAAGATGAAAAATTTTCCTGCAACTCTGAAAAAATGCCCTTTCACTTTTTCCTTCGGAGGGCTACTTCTGCGACTCTGTTTTCTGCTAGTAAAGTTTTACTTGGAATTTTCTCCTTTCTATTTCTTTTTTCTACTTCGTTTTCAACAGCAGGAGGGTAAACAAACAGAACCTTAAAGCAAATTTGATCTTTGCTTGTTTTTCTTTTATTAAATTTAACAAAGAATCATAAATAATATTATAAAATTTATTAATTAAATGAATATATTATTAATATAATAAAATTTTATGAGTTCAATTTATCTTCGAAAATATAAAAGAACAAGAATATTTAACAAATAATATATTAACAGATTTATTATTTATTTATTGAAATTAACAAAAGAATAATGAATAATATTTTAACTTTATTAATTAAACAAATAAATTATAAATATAATAAAATTCATTTATACAAGATTCGTTTATGTATTGAAAATCAAGCATGAATCTAATTCATAACCTCCATTGATCCAAAAAACCTTTTTCCTTTAATATCATCCAATAAAGTTTAATTGTAAAATATTAGTCCTCAAACTTTTAATCTAACGATTAAAAACGTTTAAAGAGATATTAAAAGACTCATTTTGAATTAGACTTTTTTTTTTCTTACTTATATTAAAGTTTTGTCATCTTAATGTAACAAAAAAAATTGTAAAATACTAGTAGTGGAATGTGATGCCATGGAGATTCTGAACTCAAAATCATGCAACAAGACATGGGCTGCCTTAGAAAAAAAAAGTCTTTCACTTTTTTTCTGGAAGTTTCTCTAGCTGAACGGTGTTGATGAGCTCTTGTCATGGTTGTGACTTGTGACAGCCTCAGCTTTCCTAGAAAAGAAAATATGCCATTGTGAACTTTGACCCCAACCATCTTTGCTTTTTTTTTTTTTTTTTTAGGGTTTGCAAAGAAAGAAGCTGGCATCTGCTCACCCTGATACAGCAAAAAAAAATTTGTTTTTAACAAAAGAAAGAAGGAAACTTCACTGATCTTTCAACAACCCATAAGGCAGAATGAAAAAAAAAAGAGGGTTGATTTTTTTTTTGGAAGAAAAAGAGGGTTGAATGTTGATTGTTATGACTAGCGATATTGTTTAGAATTTTAAATTTAGTTAAATTAATTTTTCCATTTAAATTTTCTTAACTTAATACATAACTCATTATTTTTAACTCATTAAAATAGAAGCAAATAAAACAAATTTATAACTTTAAAACATTATTTCTTTTTAATTTATATATAATCAATTTATCTATATTTATTTCTCTGTCTTTTATTTTATTTTTTTATTATTTTTATATTTTCTTTTTATTAATCCAAGACTTTCTTTACCTGCAAAATTATTGGATTTAGCTTTTTTTATTTATTTTAGGGAAAGTTTTAGAATTTGATTTTTGAATGAGAAATACATACATCAATCATTGAACCAAGTGTTCATGTAAAAATTATTAAATTTAATTAGTTATTATAAATTAGCTTTTGAGATTTAATTCGTTTTAAATTTTTAATTACTATCAAATTAATTTTAAATTAACTTATATTCTAATCTAATTAAATATAAATATATTAAGCTTATCTTTTAAATATAGTTTTATTTTAACTTTGAGACGAATATATTAATTTATCTTTCATGAAGGGCAATATTGAAAAGTAAACATTATTTTGAAATATATTAATTTTAAAATATTAAAATGGACATTCAATTTAATCTAATAACAACTTAAAATTCATTGCCAATCAATTTGAAAAGAGAAAGTATATATTTATTTTCGAAAGGTTGAATGGATCAATTGACTTTCTCAATAAGCATGGTCTTGGATATCCAACTAAACGTATTGACCAAAATTTTTTTTTTAGTTATGATGAATTTGATACACAATTAATATAAAATTTTAATTATACAAGAATATTATTATAGTGTCACATGTTTTTTTTTTTAATTTCTTAAATATATCTTAAAGGGTATGTTTTATAAATTTTGAAATAAATTTATCATTATACTTCTAATTTTGAAATTACAATGTAATAATTGGAAATATTCTATAATTAAGAAAAAAAATTAAAATGACATGCCAAACAAAAAATAATTATGAAGCTAAAATATGAAATTTCTATTTATTTCTTTTTCTTTTTTATTATGACATTGTTTACTAAATATAATGCCAAATCATAATATTTTAATCAAAACTTAAATGTATAATACTAAATTTTGTTCAAATTTTAAAAGTATGTAGGTAAAAGTTTATTTTTAAATTATTTTTTAATTTCAAAACAACTTCCAACAAAATATTTTAGGGATAAAATACAAATTTATCATATTTTTTATTTTGAAATAAATATACCACAACTATTTTTCCATTTTTGAAGCAAATTTAGCTATAATGTAACAGTTAAAAAAAATTTCATACAATATTTTTGAGAATATTAACTTAAATCTCAAAAATTTTTATAAGAGATTTTTTTTGAAATATTTTTGGATTCAGTGAAAATATTATTTGTTTTGATATTGGTGAAGATTGAGCGAGAGTGTTCATAGATATGTTTGAATTAAAACTAAATTTGTAACTATATAATGATTTAATGTTAAATTTTATCATTTTACATTTTGATTTTTAAAATTTTGTTACTATATTTTTAATTTCTTGTTATTTTTTGACAAAAAATTAATGAAATTGACTTGAATCAACCAAATTTGTCACTTTCATTATTCAAATATTCTTCTAATTTCGTTATTTTTAAAAATATTAATAAAATTAAAAATATAATGACAAAATTTTAAAATTAATATTTGCCAAATTCTTCCAATTTCCGAACCTGCGCAAAGCTGTCCTCTTGAGTTTCCACGCATTCCCACGCATCTGCTGCTGTGTGTTGGCCTGCCCGACTAATCAGACAGGCCACTTCTTTTGCCAAAGATTTTTTTTTTTCCTACTAATTTCTGTGCCTATCCGAAATGGCTATTAGGCAGGATAACTAGTGGCTGCTATTTTGTTGGGACCATATTCATGTTCAAGTTGCTAAACTTAGATCTTCTGAAAGCAACATGCAACTCCCTAATGTAACAACAGGAGACGCCAGCTATGTTGTAATTTCGCTCAATCTTTCTGCCAAAACAATATATATATATATATATATATTGTGCAATTTAACCAAGTTGACTGCTTCGGATTGCCAGAGGCAATGCCAATTTTTTAGAAAAGTTCGGCACTTAGAGAGAGAAGGGAAGAGGATAGATTGTTGTTGCAGTAATGTCATTTTCAAAAATATATCACTTATAATTATTGTATTATAATTAATTAATTAATTAAATTTTAAAATTGTGTAAAATTCATTAAAATTTTATATAGAGTTTATTGATGTATTATTAAATTATTTTTTATTATGATTGAATAATTATAAAATTATAATAAAAATAATTGCAGTAAAATGTACAAAAGGGTATGTTTGGATGAGCCGCTGAACAATAAGGGTGCTTTTCATTGCACTGTGCCCCTATCTCAAAAGAATAGATTTTTTTATATATAATTAAGATTGTCACAAAATTTTGATAGAGGACTGGAGTAGAATCAACTTCTGGTGCCTGAGGTAAATTATAGAAGGTCATCAGGAGATAATAGAGATAATATTAAATTGATATAACATTGAACATGTTAGACAAACTTAACATGTTAAGTAAGTATAAATGATAAAAATAGATAATTAAGTATAAATGATAAAAATATCTTTAATTATCTGTTGAAAGTTTCGAAGAAGAAAAAAAACATCATACTCCTTTGACCATCAAATGTTAACATAAATAACAAAAATACTTCTAATTATTTAAAAAAGCTTCAAAGAGGAAAAAATATCATTATATTCTTTTGACTATCAAATGTCCTAACAAATTAATATAGCATGTTTTCCAACAGAGTGACCGGTAAGGTGTTCTATAATTTGCAGAGGGTGGGTACAGCTAGGGCATAGAGATGTATGCTATTGTCAAAAAAATTGAAATTGCAACCAACAGCATTAAAATGTTCTAGAGCAATGTAAATCTATGTCAATGAGTCATTGTCTCAATAATAATGAAAATATATCAAAAGTCTTAGGTTTTTAAGTTCGAATCTCATCGTATATGAATCTAGTTTAATTTTTATTTTAATTTTGTTAGGTTTGTCTAATAATCAAGAAAATGTCATCAATTCTCAACTGGTAAAATCATGAAAATCCCATTTTGATTAAATACAAGTATCTTCTCTTCTTCTTCTTCTTCTTGTTTATTTTTAAAGATGAAAATGGAAAGTATCCTAGATCTTCTACTTAATCATCCTTGTCGATATGTTCTATGAAGCCCCTGGAAAAAAAAAAAAGAACCTTCTCTTGATAAGCATGAATGAATAGCAAGCTTATAAAAAAGACTGCAATCACATTTTGAAAGCTGAAACTTAATAATATCAGTTCATGTTTTTGTGGTTATTAAGTGACTTTTTACTCAAAGGGACAACCAAGAAAAAGTAGCTTTATGACTAATTGGGTTAAAAGAATGATCATACATCATGTGAACTGTGGATCAAAGTGAAAGGGAGACAACTAACAATCTCTTCTTTACAATAAATGGAACTGAAGAACAACCCATAAAGAAGACAAGGACAACATCCACTTATGACAAAAAAAAAAATCACAAAATGAGTAATTCAATCGGTAAACAGAAGAGCTAATTTTTCTCATTAATCAAAGTTCGATTTTTGTTGTTGATATGGCAAAGTGTATCAATCAAAGAAGATATTATTTAAATTCAAATTTTAACTCAATTAATTTATATAATTATTTTAAAATATGGCATTTAACAAACTTAAAATTTAAATACTAACACATATA